AATAATTTTGTTTTAACTTATTACTATTTTATTTGATAATAAATTTTTTATTTTAATCATTTTTTCAACTAAAAAGTTAATATAATGTTTTATTATAGTAAAATTGTTAATGAAAATATAGATTAATATGCTATGTAATAATAATAGTTTTTTTAACAGATTAAATAATAAAAAATAACCAGTTACAATTAAATAGTTAACTAATGAAATCGAAATTCATGGTTTTATTAAAAAGAAATCACATGTACTGAAAAAAAATATATTAGTAGAATACATTTATTTTTATCCGAACAAAATGTATTGGTAGAATAAATAAACAAACGAGTAAAATGGTAAAATAATTAATATGAAAAGCTYATCGCATATGATAAAACTTGTAAAGTAAGGAGTGAAAATTGTGTGAGACTTGCCCACCAAARTATAGGTAAGTCGGTTAAGGTATATGTATTCAACATGAATTTTACGACCCTTATATGTTGTACCAAAAAAAGTGTGAGACTCGCATATCAAGGATGAAAATAGATTTGGTGAGTCTTTTTTTTTCTTCTTCTTCTTGTAATTATTATAAAGTTTTCTATAGAGGAATTCTATTAAGATTGTTATCGTAGAGAATGATTATAGAGTTTGAGGTTGGTATACTAATCGAACCAAGTCCTATATTTCAGGCTTTTAGACTTTTAGTAAGCACTATCSAATGCAATGAAAAATTCAATTCTCAACCCTTTGAAATAAGAGATCTCATCTTCTACATAGAATGTTATGCCACAAGATATCGTATTTCATTTCGTTTGTCGCATYGTCAAAAGTATCATACRATAATTACCGATGAGCTATGCTCACTTTGACAACATTAATAAATAAATAAATAAATGTGAATATTCAAATGTTATAAGTATGTGTAAATATTATTGATTTAAAAATTAAAACACTAATTATAACGTAATATAGTCATTTGCCCACTCAACCACATTTATCCCTACTCTRATGGTCTATCTTATTTTAATAACTTGCATTGATTTTTTTTTTTAATTTAATCAAGATGCAATTTATATATTGGATGGTAAATATTTAAGTGGGTACCCGACCTGATTTTTAGTCAAATTCTTGCATCAACAAATATTACTCTAAACGAGATGTTAAATAATCGAGGTCGGAAGATAGACACCACCAARAATTCTAAAGTTAAGTTCTCAAAATATGAGATATAAATACAATCTAAACAATTTTTTATATTCCTCTACATCTAGATAATCGACCTCTRCTAGTACAATCCACTATCCTATAAACAAATGTGATCATTACAATTTGTTATTGATATGACATTAACGTTAAATGAAAACAATACTCGAGCATGGTATGGAAGATCTTTCGGAAGTATGTAAACTTCTGTCGAATCTCCGCCAGCATTRCTTGCAGATCGATTAATGCTCGTTTTGGTTTCASTCGTCGAGAAGACAACGGTGCTATTCATCTAGTCTTGCATTTTTGCATCGCTTGGATCAAAGGAGTGCCTCTGGCCATTTGGAAGATTATTCTTTCTGATTTTGCTGTTTCTTTGGTTTAGTTCCTCTTGGTTGTTTCTTCCATTAAAAAAATATATATATATATAATCAAAATTAAATGACCTCAAAAACGAAAAAGAWAAAAAAAAGAATTATATTTTATCATTATTACCACATCCCTCAACTTTCTGGCACTTCCATTAATCAGATCTACCGACCAACCCAAACCCGGTCCAAAAACCCGGACCCGAACCCGTTTAAAGAACCAGACCCGAAAAAATCACGATCTCAAATCCCTAATCTGAGATTTCCCACCCCGGAATCTGGACCGTCCATTTCCGATTCGATCCTATTTATAGAGCCTTCGCTCCGCTCTATCCTTCGTCGCTCACATTTCTCTCATTGTTCTGCGAATTTCTTGTTGTTCGCAGAAAACTGAGGGTTCTGTGTTCTTCTTCTTCTTCCTAAATCCTCTCACAATGTCTCTGATCGTCGAGAAGACCGCCGGCGGCCGGGAGTACAAGGTGAAGGACATGTCTCAGGCCGACTTCGGCCGCCTCGAGATCGAGCTCGCCGAGGTCGAGATGCCCGGTCTCATGGCTTGCCGCGCCGAATTCGGCTCCTCGCAGCCATTCAAGGGAGCTCGGATCACCGGCTCGCTCCACATGACGATTCAGACGGCGGTGCTGATCGAAACCCTCACCGCTCTTGGYGCCGAGGTCCGTTGGTGTTCCTGCAACATTTTCTCCACTCAGGACCACGCCGCCGCCGCGATTGCGCGCGACAGCGCCGCCGTGTTCGCCTGGAAGGGCGAGACTCTCCAGGAGTACTGGTGGTGCACTGAGCGCGCCCTGGACTGGGGCCCCGGCGGTGGTCCGGATCTGATCGTGGACGATGGCGGTGATGCTACTCTCTTGATTCATGAGGGAGTTAAGGCCGAGGAGATTTATGAGAAGACCGGTGCTCTTCCGGATCCGTCGTCTACTGACAACGCGGAGTTCCAGATCGTGTTGACGATTATCAGAGATGGATTGAAGTCTGACCCTAAGAGGTACCACAAGATGAAGGAGAGATTGGTTGGAGTTTCTGAGGAAACTACCACTGGTGTTAAGAGGCTTTACCAGATGCAGTCCAGTGGAACCTTGTTGTTCCCCGCCATTAATGTCAATGACTCTGTCACCAAGAGCAAGGTATTTTCTCGGTCCCTTCGTTTTAGATCTGGAATTCTGTTCTCTGTAYGAGTTATATGTTGCTGCAGATCCGATTAGTATGTTCATTTTTCAGCTCAAATCCGTAGGCGTCAGATCTAGTAACAAATTGTTCATCCATGCCCTTCACTTTCACTTTCTTGTGCTTKTACTGTGTGCATAATGTTCTGGATTTGCTTTTTCCATCTCTTAGTGGACTGAAACAAACTGATGAGTTAGTTCGTTGTTATTGACCAYTGTTCTTTCTTCTTTCTGGTCTACTGAAGTCGTTTCAGTTACCCTGTTTTGTGGAAATTAACTAATAATCAAGCTTACGCTTAGATTTCGCGTTTGATAACTTGTAATTTCGCCGCAGCTTCAGCCATTGTTACGTTTCTTTGTTRATTTTGAGCTACAAACTTCTGTGTGATTTCTGATTAGATTTGTTTCTTAACATTTTAAGAAGTGAAAATGCTGAGAGTTGGGTTTTTCTTCGATGTTGTTTCCAGTTTGACAACTTGTATGGATGCCGACACTCTCTTCCTGATGGTTTGATGAGAGCTACTGATGTCATGATCGCCGGTAAGGTTGCCGTTGTGTGTGGTTATGGAGATGTTGGAAAGGGTTGTGCTGCTGCCCTCAAGCAAGCTGGAGCTCGTGTGATCGTGACCGAGATCGATCCAATTTGTGCCCTTCAGGCTCTCATGGAAGGCCTTCAAGTTCTCACCCTGGAAGATGCCCTCGCTGAGGCCGATATCTTTGTCACCACCACCGGTAACAAGGATATCATCATGGTTGACCACATGAGGAAGATGAAGAACAATGCCATTGTCTGCAACATTGGTCACTTCGACAATGAGATCGACATGCTCGGACTCGAATCATACCCCGGCGTGAAGCGCATCACCATCAAGCCTCAAACAGACAGGTGGGTCTTCCCCGAAACCAACTCAGGCATCATCGTGTTGGCCGAGGGGCGACTCATGAACTTGGGTTGTGCCACTGGCCACCCCAGCTTCGTGATGTCCTGCTCTTTCACCAACCAAGTGATCGCACAGCTCGAGCTCTGGAACGAGAGGGCATCCGGGAAGTACGAGAAGAAGGTTTATGTGTTGCCAAAGCACCTCGACGAGAAAGTCGCCGCTCTTCACCTCGGCAAACTCGGTGCCAAGCTCACCAAGCTCTCCAAGGACCAAGCTGACTACATCAACGTGCCCGTCGAGGGTCCATACAAGCCTGCTCACTACAGGTACTGAGAGAAGAATCGACATCGATTGCGATCAATTCAGGAGGCRTGTTTTTCACAACTCAGTGATTTGTGTTAGGAAAGATTTAAGGCTGTTTTTTTGGAAGTCTTTGGGGTTTAGTGGTTTGAAAGGGGAGATGGGTCTGTTGTTGAAGAAAAGACCCAAATGTTTGGGTTGAATAAGGAAGGTTAGATTTGGTTGTGTGAAAAAAATATTTTACCCGTTTTTGTTGCAGTTTTATTTTTTTTACTGTATTTGTGTCATCGTTTTCATCGGTGAAACTAGTAGAAAGAGAAAAACGAAAAAAGAACAAATCATATTGCTAAAAGACTTTTCCAACCACATTGATTTGATCCTCATCTTTAAAATGATTATTGAGTGGCTATAATTTTTCTTGAACGATATTTCTTGTAATTTTTTAATGTTAAACATGCTCTAATCATGATATTTTCTTAACTTATTTGTTCCTTGTTGGGGTTAGTTGAATGATGTTGCGTCATTCATTAGTTTTTTTTTTCTTTTAATATTTAAATTTATTTTAAAAATAATACTATTTTTTTTATGGTAGGAAATTGAGGAAATTGAATTCAATTGATAACCTCTTGGTTGGAGATATATATCAAAGATGGAATGCAACCACGTGTTTTAAGAATTAAAAATTGGTATGTCATCTTCTACCATTTCCAAACTACTTTGCTAATATGGACGAAGAGTCGACCTACTGCGGGTATGAAGATATGAATCTCARGGTTGGAAAGATGAGACAGAAAGATTGTTTTTATTAGTGTTATATATCTTAATAATACTTTTTAATTGCTTAAAAAATAACTTTTTAAAAAATATTGTACTTATTTTAAGCAATTAGGGAAAAAATAATAATCTTATAAAATAAGAAAATTATGGTAGTTCTGGTGTGGAGAAATCGGGTAAAAAAAGTGGCCCACGATCGTCATTTTTTCACTAGAATACTCACTTCTCAAAAGGTTAATTAAATTGTGTATGCCGTTGGTTCTCGAGTGAGTAGAGTAAATGCAATGAATAGATCAGTAAGATGACTTTAGAACTACAAAAATTTTACAAATAGTTTCAAATTTACGATTTTGATTACAATTACTGCTTCCAGGAATTAATACAGCCCAAATGCGGCGACCATCGGAACGTCGYCGTGGCATTCTCCACCCTCTTATACGCACTCAACTTCCTGAACTTCTTCCAATCAACGAGTACCGTTCCGAGATCGGTGACTTTGGCGGTGATGCTCCGACAACAGTTGGCATGCACTGTTGCCACCTGTCGGAGGTCTCGGCTGTTCTGGCAGAAGCCGCTGAAGTACAGAGTGTCCAAGAATCGGATTCTGAGGGCGAGCTTTCTGGCTATTCCGCCATGGATAAGCTCCAAAAGAACGTCCTGCTCCTTCTTCCCAGTGGAGTTGTCCTTGAGGTCGTACCAGCTCTGGAACAGTGCCACCGTCTTGTTGTTTGATCGGACGAAGTAGAATCCGGTGTTTATGAAGTTCTCCTCCCCCCATGGGTTGCCGGAGAAGCCATCGGTGCTGATTTGGAGATCCTCCGTTTTGTTGGGGCTTAGTTTCAKGAATGGGTTTCGCAGCCACATCACGTCTGTGTCCTGTAAATTTGTTAATGGGAATCAAGAACAAGAACAAGGGAAAATGTGCAGAATCTTGAACGGCATCACACTTACGTGAAAGCTTGTTGGAAAATTTTGTAGATGATGCTTGTCCAAGTTTTGACTCTAACAACTTTCTAGAACCATTTCTTAAAAATCGGAAATCAAATTGTCAATTTTCTAAATTTAATCACTAAATAGAAGCTTACATACAAATTTAGGGACAAAAGKTATATCTTATACAAGAAATTAAGAATTAAAAAGAAAAATAATTACAAAATATGATTTTTTTTCTTTTATAATTTTAAATTATCATATCAAGAGTCTCTGTTTTAACTAAAAAAGAGTTCTTCTTTTAGGTAAAATACAATTTTTTGTCTCTTAAATTTTGAGAATAAGTTTAATTTGGTCCATAAGTTTCAAAAAGTGATGGTCCACGTCTTCTAAAACGTCACTAGAGACAAATTTTTGTTAACGATACTAACGGAACGATGACGTGATAGTGGTGAGTGTGATATTTTATAAATTTTATATTATTTTTTAATTATATGAATTTTTTTTTATTGATTTTCCTCTCTCTCTTCCCCTTCTTCGTTCATTTTCCCTCCTACTATCTCTCATTATCTCCCTACAAAAATATCCTTCCATCACTTCAATTTGTGAATTCAATTTTAAGTTGGTTTCAATTCGTATTGCTTTCTCCAGTTTCTGATGCAATTTTGAGTTTTTTTTCCCTGTTTGATGCTGGAGAGAGTACTAAAATGAAATTTGCAGGATAAAGAGATGTATTAGAACTCAACCTTTATTGATTTATACCCTGTTGCTTTGTTTACCATAAGGAGAGTTTTATATTTCTCTGTGAAAGCTTCCCAATCCCAAACAATAACTCAAAAAAAAGCAAGGACCTGAAACGATTTCGCCACATTTCGAGAAACGAGAGAGAGAATTGAAACCAACTTAAAATTAAATTCACAGTCACAACTGTCGGAACATCCCGTTAGTGTATCACTTACCCAAGGACTTTTTAGAATTATTTTTTAAAGATTTGAGATCAAACTATCACTTTTTGAAATTTAGGTACCAAATTAAAATCTATCCTCAAATTCAATCCTTCTTTTCTTTTTTTCTTTTTTTTTTTTCATTAACATTACTTAAATTTTCTCGGGTCTACTGTTCTGGTTTGGTTTTATATTTGACCATTTTTATATCAATAAATTTACCAGTTTTTAATATATATATATTTTTGTCTTAAAATTAATTTCATATTAAATTAAAAAGGGATAACTTCTGCAAATGGCTAAAATTCAAGGTGTTTATGGGGTGGGTGCTACCTTCAGAAATAGTAGCTACGAAAAGTAAAAACATAGTAACATAATAAATCACAATATATATACAGTACACACACACATATTTTACCCATTAATCTAGCAAGTTGAGTTTTCACCCTAAACTTCCAACTTCATCACCATAAATCTTGACTACAAAAATCAAATTTTGCAAAAAATTAACTTGTCTTAGTGTAAAATTTCTACTAATTCATTGATTAATTTTAAATAAAAAACAATGTAAAAAATTCAATAATTTAATGAAAATAAAGCTTTAGAAAAAAAAAAAGTTTGAAACCATCATATAACTTTGCCAAAACTAACAAAATTAAAAAAAAAGAAGAAAAGTCAAAGAAGTAATTGACATATACCTCCAATTAAGAGATTGTGATGATGAGTTAAGTAGCTTTTTTTGGTTGAAATGACATAAGTCTAAATATTTCCATAATTTTGAATTTTTTTTTCTTGTCTAATACATGTTCATATATTTTATCCTAAACTCAAGTTGGTAGGTTAAGTTTCACATCCAAGTGAAGACCCTACGAAATTTCAAATTGTTGATTTTTCAGAAAGAAAAAATCAATTTACTCTTAACCAATATAACTAACTTAATAATTTTCTAAATAAGCGATCAAATCTCAACAAACAAATAAAAATTTGCTCGAAAAAAGGGAACGTACCGTGAAGATGAAGTTGTAGCCCCGTTTGAGAACTTCCAAGAGAAACTCTGTTCTTCTCCACATCATCTTGATGAAATCCGCCGACATGTAAAGCTTCTCGCCGCCGAAATCGACGCCGTCCGTCGTCAGCCGGAAGCAGTTCAGGCGAAGAAACCGGCAGCGATCGTACGCCGTCTGATCGACGGCGACGATCAGAAGGTGTTTCACCAGAGGCCGAGTGCCTTCTCCGAGCCAGAAGCTATCGAGAAACACGTCGAGCATTGTGGTTACGGCGCCGGTTTCTTGATCGGCGTACGCCTTGTTCACGACGGCGATTATCAATGTCTTGTTCGCCATTGAAGCCCCGGCCAGAACCGATTCAAGCTCGTCTCGGGGCGAAACAGAAAGAAATTCGCTACTATTTCTCTGCAACAATCGGTCCAGAACGAATTCATAATCAATTTGCACAAAAATTTCAGAGATAGAGGAATAGAATCAAAATCACTAGTTCTATTCTGCAGCGATTTAATCGAGAACGAATTCGTAATCAATTCTAAATCGCACAAAAATGTCAGAGATAGACGACTTCATAATCTCGTCTCGTGTTCAACCGAAGCAAAATCACTGCTATTGCTCTGATTTCGCACTCAATTGTAAATTACACAAAAATGTCAGAGATAGAGGACTTCGTAATCTCGTTTCGTGGTTCAACAGAATCAAAATCACTGCGATTGCTCTTCAACAATTAATCCAGAACGATTTCGCAATCAATTGTAAACTACACAAAAATGTCAGAGATGGACGAATAGAACCAAAATCACTAGTACTATTCGGCAGCGATTAATCAAGACCGACAAATTTCACAGAGAAAAAAATCCTAAAACAGAGAGAGATGGAGAAAATGCGATCGTAACCTGATTTTGAAGCTTGGTGCGGCTGCAATGGCGTCCGTCGGAGACAAGACCGAAAGGATTCGTGACAGCGGAAAACCAGATGGTAAAAAAGAGAATTCCGGCAAGGAAGAAAGACGGAATCACATAATTTACGACGGAATTCTTCGGGAAATCCATGGAAATGCGGTGGATGAAATGAACAAGAACAAGAACGAAGGTTTTTTCAGGAATTCATCTTTCGATTTTTGCAAGAAAAAGAAAAAACTACCAAATTCTCTTAAACATTCCCATTCTTCAGAGATATAGTGAGAATTTAAGGTCAACTGAACGCTGCAAGTTTTATCAAAGCTAAAGAGTTTTAGTTTTTTTTTCCCCTTAATTATACATCATTTATAAGATAATTATAATTAAAAAAGTATTTACATTAATATAATTTATATATTAAATTATAATTTGTCTCCACTTTTGTCATTCTTGTTACAAAACACACACATGTAAACGACTTACCTTTCAAAGAGCTAAATGGTAGGCTATTTATTTTGACAACTATGACTAAATTACCTTAAAAAATAATAATTAGCTAAATGCTAAGCTATTTATTTGGACAACCATGATTAAATTACTTTTAAATATAAAATTCAAGTAATTTATTATTTATATTATTAGTTTTATATATAAATGACTATGATATTTGATAAATATTCAACTTTTTAAAAATACTAGTATATATAAAAAGTAGTCCTCGTTAATGTAGTCTAATATGTTTTTTAATAGCCGTGAGAGTCTGGACCAGCTTGTGTGTACCTCCATTAATCTTAAATAACTGTAAGCTTTATCAGTTTTTAAATTTTAAATTTTAAAGTATGATTTTCTGTAGTTTTGTCGTTATCACCGTTTGTTAGAGATTTTATTTTTCTACTTATTACTAATTTCATAGTTTAAAAAGAGAATTGAAATTCAACTTAACTAAGTTTTAAGAGATTATAAGTCTTTGCGTAGTTTAATTAGAAATTTAGTCTCAAACTTTGATCATTATGTTAAGTTGGTTTTTGAATTGAAAAAAATATATATTTATGTTTATGAATTTTGAATTATGGTATCATTTTGAGTCTTTCATTTGAATGAGATTGCAACATGAACAAGTGACAAAAATAAGTGAGGAAAGAATTTCAATATTGTACTATATATTATCTCCGACTAAAATAATCAAATAGTGTAAACTCTATATAATAAAACAACATACATACTAATTACGTGACTCAATAATATTAATGATGATTTATACTATATCTCTAGTAATACTAAGAAATTTCAGCGTAATGGACACTCAAAAAATAAACTGACACGTACGATAGAATAATATTTATCTCTTGATTCAATAAAATTCTTACCCACTACATTGACTTCATCTTTTCTAAATTGAAGAATTTTCTTTCGTTGATTGGAAATAAAGAGAAAATGATTAAGAATTTGTATACCATGGATGAATTGTGTTGTTATCGAATTTTGCATCCTTAGAATACAAACAAACTTAGAGAATTTCAAAGGAACTTGCACATAGAAAGAAAATAGTTTCGACCCTCGAGTCAATAAGAGCTCGAAGTATTTGTTTGAGGACAAACAATTAGATTATGAGTATCTGTGTTTGGAAGCTATATCTGGAGTTATAGGCGCCGATTGGTGGGCTCCCACTCACCAAGCTACTTAGCTCGACTTCGAGATTCTTGACATGAGACTTGTGGTTGTGCATGGCAATTGAGGGGCATTTTCACGATTTACCTCGACTCGGCCTTTTTCAAGACTGGAGATTTAGTGAACTGCTGAAGTGATATTCATCAAGTTCAAAATCCGAGGAGTTGTATTTCGGCCTTCAACTACCTTGTTTGATCGTGAAATTGATCAAGCTTGGATCCGCGAAGCATGGAAGATGTGTACTGAAGTTTGAAGTACTTGCAAGACAAAGTTAGCACTCAGACGATTTAGTTAGTACATAATCCGATCTATTGTTCTTAGAGAAAATAGTTTCGCGTACCTTGCGTGGGAGGCATGAATCTCTTTTTATAAATGAATTCCCGACAGGACTTCTGAAGCACTCCAACGACTTTTCGACATCCCAGAAAATGCAGCGTGTTGTCGAACAACATCCTCGTTGCCTTCGTGCCCACAGATGTTCTTCAAGATCGATTCGTACCTGGTATAGGTCGGTCAAAAGATAATATGTAGCTCGGTTCGATTATCATCTATCGATCTGTTAGGATTTGCATTAATCCAAAAGATGTAGCATAAACACGTGGCGAACTATAAATGAACTGCAATAAATCTTTATGCTCTTGCCATCCTTTTGAGCCGTCCATAGAATTGGATGTTATGGAATGGAGAAATTTCATTTGAGAATTTGTGTTGTCTTTATTGAAAAAGTCAATGAAGTGCCTTTTCTTGACCAACAACAACAATGATAATAACAATTTTTTTTTATAAATGAAAATAACAAAATTAAAAAAAAAATACTTCGATTAATGAGAATTTGTGTTCTGTCATTTATTTGAAAATTTTATTAATTTAAAACTGAGCTAATTTACTGACACTTTCGTTACATTGTATAGTTTATTTATTTATTTATTTTCTCTTTCTTTTAAAATTTTCTTTTTTTCATTTTAAATTAAATAATGTACTTTTTTTCCTCTAAAATAATTTATACTTTTATATCTAGTAAGTTTATACAGGAGGCCATAATAAGTTGAAAGTCATCCCTCATATAATAGTTTTTATTTTACTTTCTTTTTTAAACTATTTATATAAAAAGTTAATTGAATTAAAAAACTTTACTAAATACTTTGAGTTTTGTTATGATCAAATCAAGCTTTTCTCACGTTAAATTGATCCAAGGTATAAAATTTATAATTAAATAACTTTGTCATAACTTGTAAATTAAAAAAAAAAAATCAACTCTATTATCGATTTTGTCTAAATCATATAAATTTATACTAAATATATGTTTTTAGAACTAATTTGGTACATATGAGAATATTTTTTTCAAACCAATTTTTAAATAAAAATTTATTATGGAGTAAAATTTACTACATAACTTAAAACTTAAGATATCAACAATTATCTAAGTACAAGGTGCAATTCGACGAAATTGAAAGTTGAGGATAAACATTACCGAGTTCAGCGTTAAGATTGATATTTTCTGTTATATTTATATGAATTAATCCCTCCCGACCTGAATTTCTAGAACCTTCAATACACATATATTGAGAATATTTTTATATTACTAATCGGTTGACATACCACATCGATTTAATTATCTATATCATTTTAACATAAAAAAGTATTTTTCGTTGTAGTACATAAAAACATAAATAGGTGTTTACTTGTTATTTTATTTCTTATTGCACCGTAATTGTTCGAATAATTAAATAAATGTAGATTTTTATATTGGTTAAAAAATCACCAGTTAGTCATTGTAGCATTCGAGTTATTTTAATGGTTAATAATTTTTAAATTTGATCTGGCTGCTCTCTAAATCTGCGTGACATTTTATTTTTATACTAAAAAAAAACTAATTCAATTAAGCAATTACTCTTTCTGACTTATTAAATAAATTGTAATTGAATCATATTGTCATAATTTCATTAATTTTAATTTGAAAAATGTGGTTCAATTTTGTATAATGTTATCGTTCAGGCTAGGATTTTGGCTTCCTTGGTTCTTGTCAAATACCCACCAAACTTGATGATCACGGGACTGGATACCTGCAAAATCGAGCAGCCCTAAATCGGTGTGACTTCAATCATACAGGATCCGATGATTAAGTTAGCTATAGGAGAATTACTCAGTAAAGTAATTAGGGTATGTTCGCTTACCTCTAGGGTTTAGCTGGTAGTTCTATTTATAAGAATTATGTCTTCTAGAACCTTATTGTTGAGCCCATCTAATTTGTTGTTGTTGGATCATAGGGACTCATGGATCAGGGCACGTCAACCAACGAGAGAGTAGGGAAGATGGGCTTGACCCAGGCCGAGCAGGGGTCGGGACCGAGCCCTGTCGGCTCGGTCTTCCCTTTGTCGTTGCTTGGTTGGGCCTCTCTAGTCTGTAGAGACTCATTTCTTTGGCTAATTCCGATCCCATAACAGTTATAATCTTAAAAAAGAAAAAAAAACATGTGCAAACTTACCCCTAGACTATGTTGCACCACTAATTAAGTAATAATAGTAGGGCTTAAAATTGAAATTATTCATAATTTTAGGGTTAATTGATCAAATAAAAAGTTTGATGGTGCAATTTTAATAATTTGAGTCGTATATTTGGATCTTATAAGTTGTATTTTAAAGGGGTAAAAAGTTAAGTTACAATTGTGTTTCATATCATTTGAGTTTAGTTTAATTTTATTATTGTATATATTTTAAGAGTTTTAGTTTGCTTCTTACAATTTGGCTAAATCAAAAAAATGTTCCACCAAGGACCCCAATTCTTCTCGCGTTTACCCCTTCTCCATCTCCTTCGTCTTCGCCATGGCTCCCTACAATGACATTCTGCCCGGTCATGGCCTCGTTTTCATCTTCGTCCCAACGGCGGGAATCGAAGGGACTAGCTCTGCCCCGAATCTGGATTTTCTCAAATTTACGTTCAATGGGAACCCCAACAACCACGTCTTTGGAATTAAATTCGATGTGTTTGCCAATCAAGAATTCAAGGACCCCAACGACACTCATGTGGGAATCAACTTTAATTCTCTGACCATGAACTCCACCGAAGAGGCTGGGTTTTGGTCGGACGGCGGCTGGAGTGGAGGGGATTCGTTCAATAGACTCAAGCTTAATAGCGGCGAAAATTACCAAGTTTGGATCGACTATTCCGATTTTCTCATGAACGTCACCATGGCGCCGGCGGGGATGAGAAGGTCGCGGCGGCTGTTGTTTAATGTCTCTGTCAATCTCTCTGAAATTTTCATGGACGAAATGTTTGTGGGGTTCACGAGCGCCACCGGGCAGTTGGTACAGAACCACAAAATTTTGGTCTGGAGTTTCAGTAACACCAATTTTTGGTTAAGGGAGAGTTTGATCACCACTGGTTTTCCCTCCTTCGTCCTCCCAAGAGACCCGATCACCAAATCGAAGTGGTTCATCGCCAGTGTGATAGTCAACATTTCCTCATCCTTTGTTTCCTTGCAGCGATTTCGTGGATTTTGATCGTCGGGCACCGGAGGAGAGCCAGAGCCAGAAATTTCAAAACCTACCATACTTTTAATATTTTTAATTAAACTACAATATTTTTAAAATAAGTTTGATTTACAATAATATTAATAAAAAAAAAAACTCATTTTAGACTTCTTCTTTCTTTCTTTTTTATGAGTACAACACGTACAAGTGAGGGTTTGAACTAATGAGTTTTTAGTCAAAGATAGGTCCCTTAACAACTCTGGCACACATTTTAGACTTCTTAAATAATTCGTTTTTACATGAATCCTTCCATTTTTCAAGATTAATTGTGTAATTAAATTGTAATTAAAAACGAAAAATGATAATGATTTTATATTATTATTTTTAATTTGGTTAATTTACAAATTTAGTTACTAAATATTTAAGGTTTTTGTCTTGTGAGGGTTTTTAACTTTAAAAAGTGTGTAATAGATCCCTAAACTTTAATGTTGCGTCTAATACATCTTTAAACTTTAAAAAATGTCTAATAAATCTCCAAGTGAAACACGTTTAACTTTAGAGTTCTTACGATTGAGTTACAATTGAGTTCTTACGATTGAGTTACCTATACCATGTTGGTATAGGTAGTAACTATCAATTCTTTTGAGCATTTCTTAACCATGCATCCATGGTCCAGGATCTCTCTCATTTGAATGTGGTATCAATTCATTCATGTACCAATCCTCTCTAATCGAGCGTCACATAAGCTAATAGAATCAATCCATAAGGAGATTGGGCCCACGTCCATTAAGCCCATGGGGTCACTTCTTATTCGAAGGAGAATGCATTCACAATGATTAAGAAAGATTCATAAACATTGAGAAGTAGAGATTCAGAGCCACAAAAGCATTCAAAATCATTATAAGTATTGAAAGCTTAAGACTCCAAGAATACTGAATCATCTCTTAGTCAGCAACAAGTCGAAGACTTTGCATCGTCAAGCTACAAAACCGAAGATTTCATCAAGCTATAAGCCGAATAACTCTTCACAAACTACAAGCCGGAGAACTCTTCATCAAGTTAAATAGCCGAAGAACTTTATCAAACTCCATAGTTGAAGGACTTCATCACACTACATAATCGAAGAACTTCATTAAGCTACATGTATAAGACAGCTTTATCAAAAGTCGAAGTTTTCAACAAGCTCAAGGTCGAAGACCTTTAAAAAACTAGAAGCCTAAACTGTCAACCTCATTGATTCGAAAACAAGTTCACAGGCTGATATTTGAATTAAAGTTTTCCTTCGAGAGAAAACATTAAAAGATCATATATATAGATTGTACACTACATGCATAAATACAATACAAGTTTATTAATTCGAGTTGTTCTCTGATGTGAATTCTTCACGAATAGCAGTTTGAAAAATTATAAAGCAATGAAGCAATTAAGGGCTCGTTTGGTAACGTTCCCGTTTCTTGTTTCTAGTTTCCAATTTTCTTAAGAAATCCAAGTATTTTACAACTAGCTCTCTTTCTTGTTTCTCCTTTTTTTGGGAACATTCACAATTGTATAGAAATTATGGGAACAATCAAAACAAGTTTCTCTTTTCTTGTTTTCATTTCCAATTTGTTCCAAAACATAAATAAAAAACATTGTTTTATCCTACTTGAATTCTTGGAGGTTGAAACCATGCAACACATTTTTCTTCACTAAAATAAAGAAATAGAAACAAGAAATAGAAACGTTACCAAACGAACTCTAATTAACTTATTTCTAAAAAGGCTTCCGAAATGAATATTTCATTAGAGTGAGAGAAAAGAAAACAGAGTATTAGTGTCTCCTCCCGTGAGTTTATAACAACAAGTTTCTTCTCATATATTTATAATATTATATTTTTAAAAAGATAAACATAAAAATACATTGAGACCGTCGCTTTTAATAATTTGTTAAATATTTTTCGCAAATTAAAAATACATTGTTTAAACTTTTTACTGTATTTGTATCATCGTTTTCATCGGTAAAACTGGTAGAAACACAAAAATGAAAAGGAAATTACTGCCTTCCTTCGTTTTTTGTCTTTTTGAAAGGAAATTGTACAACAAAACAAATCATGTTATCTTTCAAAGGCAAAAAATAATAAATAAATAAATAATCATATTTTCATAAAGACTTTTCCCAACACATTGATCCTTGTCTTTAAAAAGATTACAGAATGGCCCTAATTTCTTATCTTTAAAAAGAATATAGAGTGGTCCTAATTTCTTGCACGGACGTTTCTTGGTAATTTTTTACTGTTAAATATGTTCTACTTTTTTTTTCTGAGTACAATCATTCGGGTAGGAATTTGAACTCGTGATCTTTCAACGAGAGGGATAGATATCATGTTGGTTAATTTTGATGCTTAAATATGTTCTAAACCATTTGGAATTTGAAATATTTTAAAAGATAGTTATAATTTTAGTAATTACTAAGAGAAAATCCCTTTGTTAACAAGGGATAGTAACAGATAAAAAATGAGTTAAAAGTTTAAAACTACCCAACCTTACAAATAATTTCAAATTTATGATTTTGATTACAATATATAGTTTAAAAACTACTGCTTCCATGAATTGATACAGCTCCAGTGCGGCGACCACTGAAACGTCGTTGTGGCATTCTCCAGTCCCTTATATTCACTCAACTTTATGAACTTCTTCCATTCAACAAGCACCGTCCGAAGATCGGCGACCTTGGCGACGATGCTCCGACAGCAGTTGGCGTGCACTGTTACCACCTGTCGGAGGTCCTGGCTGTCCTCACAGAAGCCGCTGAAGTATAGAGTGTCTAGGAATCGGACTCTGAGACCGAGTTTTCCGATGATTCCGCCATGGATGAGCTCCAGAAGAACGTCCTGCTCCTTCTTCCCAGTGGAGTTTTCCTTGAGGTCGTACCAACTCTGGAACAAGGCCACCGTCTTGTTGTTTGATCGGACGAAGTAGAATCCGGTGTTTATTAAGTTCTCCTCCCCCCATGGGTTGCCGGAGAAGCCATCGGTACTGATTTGGAGATCCTCCGTTCTGTTGGGACTTAGTTTCAGGAATGGGTTTCGAAGCCACATCACGTCTGTGTCCTGCAAATTGTAAATTTGTAATGAGAATCAAGAACAAGAACAAGAACAGTAAATAAAAATGGACAGAACCTGAAACAAAGTGACAATTACGTAAAAGTTTTTGGAAAAATTCACCGGATGATGCTCATTGAAGTTTGACTCTAAAACCTTTTTAGAACCATAAATCAAAATTGTCATAATTTTAAATTTAGGAACCAAATAGAAGATTCTTTCTTAATTTTATTTTAAGAAAAAATAAAATAAAACTAAAAAAAGTTGCAATTTCTACTAATTTATTTACTAATATAATTTTGCCAAAACTTAAAAAGAAGTAAAAAAAAAAACCCCTCTAACATATTCTTGTCTAAATTCTATCAATTTCATACTATATATAAAAACTAAAATTTTGTCTTTTTTTTTTGTTTAATATATGATCTTCATATATTTTCTCCCAAAAAAAGAAGAAGAAGAAGAAGAAGAAGAAGAAGAAGAAGAAAGAAATAAACAAAAAATTCTGGAAAGGAGGGAACGTACCGTGAAGATGAAGTTGTAGCCGCGTTTGAGAACTTCCAAGAGGAACTCTGTTCTTCTCCACATCATCTTGATGAAATCATCCGACATGTAAGGCTTCTCTCCGCCGAAATCGACGCCGTCCGTCGTCAGCCGGAAGCAGTTCAGGCGAAGGAACCGGCAGCGATCGTACGCCGTCTGATCGACGGCGACGATCAGAAGGTGTTTCACCAGAGGCCGAGTGCCTTCTCCGAGCCAGAAGCTATGAAGAAACACGTCCAGCATTGTTGTACCGCCGGTTTCTTGATCGGCGTAGGCCTTGTTCACGACGGCGATTATCAATGTCTTGTTCGCCATTGAAGCTCCGGCCAGAGCCGATTCAAGCTCGTCTCGAGGTGAGGCAGAAAAAAAATCGCTACTATGTCTCTGCAACGATCAATCCAGAAAACGAATTCATAATCAATTCGAAATTGCACAAAAATGTCAGAGATATACGACTTCATATTCTCATCTCGCGTTCAACCGAATCAAAATCACTACTATTTCTGAACGAATTCATGATCAATCAATCCTCAGTTACGCAAAAATGTCAGAGATAGACGAATAGAATCAAAATCACTAGTACTATTCTGCAGCGATTAATCCAGAACAAATTCATAATCAATTTCTAAATCACACAAAAATGTCAGAGATAGACGACTTCGTAAGCTCGATTTGCGGTGGAACAGAATCAAAATCGCGACTATTTCTCTGCAACAATTATCCAGAACAGTTTCACAATCAATTGTAAAATACACAAAAATGTAGAAGACGATCGAACAACTTCATAAGCGCGTCTCACGGTTCAACACAGAATCAAAATCAAAATCACAAGTACTATTCTAGTATTCCACAACAATTAATCCAGGACGAATTCGTAATCAATTCTAAAATTACACAAAAGAAAACAGAGTGAGATGGAGAAAATTCGATGGGAAACCTGATTTTGAAACTTGTAGCGGCTGCATTGGGGACCGTCGGAGAGAAGAGCGAAAGGAATCGAGACGGAGGAATACCAGATGGTAAAGAGGAGCATTCCGAGGAGTAAGGAAGACGGAATGACATAATTTGCGACGGAATTCTTCGGGAAATCCATGGAAATGCGGTGGATGAACAACAAGAAGAATGCAGGTTGTTTTAGGATTTTGTCTGGAAACTAAAAAAACACTAACAAATCTCTCGCACATTCCCATTCTTAAAAGTTAAAAGAGAGAGAGAGAGAGTTGAAGGTCAACTTGAGCGCTGCAAATTTTTATCAAAGCCAGAGAGTTTTAGGTTTTTTTTCCCCAATTACATATCATTCATAAGATAATTATAACTATAGACTAAAAAGTATTCACGTTAATGTAGTTTATATACTATAAATAAATTATAATTTGTCTCCACATTCTACTGCCAAAACATACCTACATATATATATATATATATAATCTAATGTAATGGTTAAAGTAAATTCTAAAGTATGATTTTATGTAGTTTTGTCACTATCACAATTAATAAGAGCTTTTTTTTTGCCTCCAATTTTATTGTGAGAGATTACAAGTCTTTGAGTAATTAAATTTTAGTTTAATTGTAAATTTAGCTTCCAATTTTATATTTTTAATTTATTTATATTATGATCATTAATTTAATAAGGTTGTAGGCCCACCAGATAAGAATTAATTAATTTGTGAGGATACGATTAATAAATAACAAAAAGAAGTGATCGGTGAGCATACAAACCTTGACAATTTTAAATTTTAGTAAATTTGTACTAAAATAAATTTCTAAAAATTCCGTTGGGTGAAAGCCAGATATCCTAACCGCTGGACGACAACAGAATTATTGATATGTACTGACTTTTATATTTATTTATATATATAGGTTTTTTTAAACAACACATGTTTTTTGTTTCCTTGTTTTTGCTTTTGCTTTTGTTTTTGTTTTTGTTTTTGTTTTTAAGAAAAGTAGTTTTTCCCCTTCTTTTGAGAACGAACCATGATAATTTTTCTAAAAGTTAATTTCTATTTTAAAAAAGTAGCTCACTAATTTTAATAAGCCGGAATAAAAGTAAATTAGTATGTTTTTATTTTATAGGATAATCATTGCTTAAATTAAATTGATAATTAACCTTTTTTTAATTCAATAAATGTAGAGGTGAATGATTGATTTTTTTTTTTTTAATTAGGGAAGGTAAAAGTCCACTCACCACTAAATTATGTTAATACTGGCTAAAAAATATTAATTAATTGTAACCACTAATTAACTTAGGTCCATTTTACAATTATTTTATTTTAAATTTTCTATTTTTTTTTTACGGCGCTGCTTTCACTTTTTTTATATTTTACTATCTATTCTTTAAATAGGTTTTCAAAATCTAGATAAAATAAAATAAAATAAAATAAGTTTCAAAGTTTGTTTCCATTCTTAAAACTTTGCTAACAATCAAATAATAAACTTTTATTTTTTTAAATATAGAAACAAATCAAATAAATAAATTGTCTTATATTTGTTAACTGTGATGTGATAACTAATTAACTAAATGGTTGATCTAAGATTTAATCTTTTAAGTTAACATAAGGGTCTTGTCCTATCTTATCGGTTGCGTTTTGTCTTTATTTTTCATAAAATAGATTCCAAAGCGATAAAAGTGATAGACAGTCAGGGTCTTGTCATGTCGGCCATAAACCTATCCTTATTAACTTCTCATGTACTCAATCATTGTCGACTTTTCAAGATATTTTAACCAACTTAATTTAGTTAATATAGTCATTATTATAATAACCTCTCTTAAAAATTGTTCGTCCAAAACCTATCCATGTCTACATCTACCTATACATGTGTCAGTTCCTTTTATAAGTTTTGAACCACGAAATAATTTTCACTATGATACTAAAGAATTTTAAAATTTATTTGTTTTTTTATTTTACGTTACGGTCAGAAATTTGTTTATATTGTTTCCTTTTTTTTAAACATTAATTTTAAATAAATAGTTGACTCGATTTTAATTTTAGGTAAATTAATTTAATTAAATAAAAAAGCCTCATCCAATCACGAGGATTGTCAAAATTTTATGCAATACTTTTCAATCAAATCTCCAAGGGATAAACTAAAATGTAGCCACTTATTAACTTAGATATTAATTAATTAACTGAAATAATCATAATTTACAAATTGGTACATATATTTTTTGTTTTTTTCATTTATTTATATTTATGATTATTTATCGTTTATGTAATATATTATATGAGGTTAGATTTACAATAATCTCCTAATGAGTTGACACATCAAAATAAAAGTGTCAAAAATATAAAAAATAGCAATAACAACTATTCAAGAGAATTAACCCAACTATAAACCATAAATTGCCCGTACATGCAGTAGTTTTCCCATGTGGCATATTTTTATTGGTCTATTTCTATTGTATTTAACATGCGAATTATATTTACAAAAAAAATAAATAAATAAAAATTAGTCAATAATAAGATATCCTACCTTAGAAAGTTAGCCACAGCTCTACCAATCGATTTGTGCAAGTAACTCGCAATATGTTAGGAAAATTTATAGTACTCCACTATGATTTTGCATTTATAAATTAGTTTGTAATTTTGGTGGATCTCACATGATTTTTAATATGATGCTGACATAGTAGACAAAGAATGGCAGGGAGTATTCATACTCCTATAGTACCGAAAAGTTTCTTCAATATTCACGAAACATAGAGATATCCCACTTGAGATTACCCTGTCATATGAGACACTACTTTAGTCTTAATAAATATATTTTTATTTGTAATATTTTGTTTTTTTTCCTCACTATTTTTTTGTTGATGTGGCTGAATCTTCAGCCATTCAGGAAGGTTTAGCTATGACTCGCAGTCGAGGATTTCGGCCTCTATTGACAGAAATTGATTCTCTAGGTTGCTTTGGCTTCTGATTCAGGATGGAGATGATCGTTCGAAGGTGAGTTGCCTTCTCTCGGGTATCACATTGTGTTTGGTTAAGTTCAGTTTCTTTCAGTTTCATTCGATGAGACGGTAATGCATAAATTGACTGAGATATATTTGGTTTGACATTTGAATCGTGTGACCTTTTGGAAATCTATCAAATTCTGGTTGATTGTTTTTGTTTTGCCTTTTCTTTTAATGGACTTTCTTCTTGTTAATTGTTTGTATTCCTTTTGAGTTTTTTTCTTAACAAAAATATAATAATATTAATTTTATTATACATTTCAAAACGAGACACAATGTCAAAAAAAAAAAAACGTGCAATAAAATATTGATTTAATTATACATTTAAAAAACAAGACACAATGTCAAAATTATTACCAAAATATTTTCAGACCAATCAACATATCAATTAGCAATAAAAATCTGGAAAATCATACAAAATTTTTATTACCAAATTGATTGAGATTCGTTTATATTCTTTCCTTTTCTATCAACAAAACAATAAATATCTGACACACTTTTAATTTAGTTAAATTAATTTTTAAATTAAAGTAAACAGCCTCATTAAATACGAATATTCTCGTCTAAATTTCATGCCATAGTTGCCAATCAAATCTCCAATTTAATTCCTTTCGAAAAATCTCCGATTTAATTACTACATTCCTTTAATTTTGGACTTAACAAATACTTCCTCGAGTATAGGTCGATTGGTTAAGGTACTGATTAAAAAAGCGTGATTTCGAATTCCTACCTTACATGCTGTACTATAAAAATAAATACTTCTCAAAATTAAATGGAAGGAAATAAAAATCGCAAGGTCCAAAATTGAATCACGAATTTTAAGGGTAGGAGTAGGTGTCAATTAACGTTAATTATGTTCACGTTGGTTTCTAAAACATTAATTTTTAAATAAATAGCTACTCAATTTTAATTATAGTTATTTTTTAGAAAAAATTAAAGAAAACAACCTTATCAAATCACGAACATTGTCATCTGAAAAATTAGTAATTGTAAAGTGTGTTAATATTGACTAAATAATATTGATTAATTATAACTTATATATTGGTTACGGTAATTAATTGGTTAACAAGAATTACTGATCTACATCTATTCTAACTTTTTATATTTACAAACATTATAATTATTTTCTAGTTACTATTTTTGTAATATATATATTTTTCTTACCTAAATAATGTTAAATTTGTAACCGTCTCTTAAAACTTTCAGGTTCGGATGAAATATACACACACGGTAGAGATCGGTAAATGTTGTGAATGTACAGTAATGATAAGAATTTTCGACGAACTACATGAATTAAATTTAAACTTTTAATGCTTTTAGAAAGTTGAAACTGTTAACTTTTTTATTTTTCTTTTGATAACGAAAACTTTTAATTAGCTTTGTTTAGCTTAACTAAATTGAGCGTAGTTTAGAATTAAAATGATATATCTATTTGACTAAGAGATCATGAGTTCGAATCCTCCATCCTTAAAAATAAAAATCATCGGAAAGAAATTTTTCGGATACAAAATTTTGCACGGGAAATTTGTCAACATAGGGTCATTGGGAGAGACCATTGCCGATGCGAATTGTAAAGAAGACTTTTGCCAATGACTATTTCATCGATAGTAATTCTTTTTCTATTGATGATCATAGTTTGTAAGGAAATTTCTTCTTTTCGATTTTTTTTCCTTGAAGAAAAGTTCAAATTTATTATAGGTGTTCAAAAAAATCCGACAACCCGACGAAGCTAACCCAAACTATAAAGATTAGGGTTATGATTTTTTTCAATTCGATCGGGTTGGATTTGGTCTCAGGTTCAACTTTTAAAAAATCAGGTCAACCCAATCCAACCCGAATTTATGCATGTTTGCGTATTTTTTTTAGTTTTATATATATAGTTTTTATCTTTCATGTCAATCATCCATTTAGTTTTAATTCTAATCTTTTATTTAAGCTTTTCATATTATCTCCTTAGCTGTCTATGTAATTTTAATCCTAATTTCCCGTCATTGTGGTAATTAAAAATTAAAAAAAAAATATCCGACAACCCAACCTGACCCAACCCAAAAATATTTTGTTGGGTTGAGTTGACCATCCAGTTCAAATCCGACGTTTCTATATATGGCCAACTCGAAATTCGAGTGGATCCCAAAACCCCTTCTAACCCGACGCAATGCAATATAACTCGCGAATAACTCCAAAATTTACCTCCGTTGCATCATAAACTTAGAAAAGTTTTTGAATGTAGAAAGACAGACAAAAATTACAACATAAAATGTGTGGAATTTGGGGAACATTAAGAAACAATGTAGAAGGAAACTATATTATTTTATTATATTATTCAAAACCACACACCATCAAATTTATTTCAAAATATTTTCCGACCAATCAATCAGCCAACGAAATCTGGAAAATCATAAAATTCGTTATGTGGATTATTATTACATTCCTCACTTCCCAAAATTAACCCCCAAAACAATTGAAAAATAATAATAAAATAACAAGAACTCTCAACGTTTAAGTTTATAAAAAGCTTCCGCTTCATCTCCAATGGCGGAAAAAACAGAGGAACCGAAGATGCAGAGAAAATCGAGTGCGATGAAGAAAACTCAAGGCCGACAGAAGATCGAAATCAAGAAACTGGAGAAGAAGAGCAGCAAGCAAGTGACGTTTTCGAAGCGCCGGACCGGACTTTTCAAGAAGGCCAGCGAGCTCTCTGTTCTGTGCGGGGCGGAGGTGGCGATCATCGTTTTTTCTCCCAACGATAAGGTTTTTTGCTTCGGTCATCCGAATGTGGATTTGCTTTTGGATCGGTTTCTGACGGGGAATTCGGCGCCGCCGAAGCCGGCGGAGAGTTATGTGCCGGTGGCGCAGTTGAATCGCGAATTTGCCGATGCGGTGAGGGAATTGGAGGCGGAAAAGCGGCGGGCGGCGGAGGTGATTAGGGCTGCGGAGGAGTGGAGGAGCGGCGGCGGATTCTGGTGGGAGGAGGAGATTGAAGGGATGAGAGTGGAGGAATTGAAGGAGTTCCGGTCGGCGTTGCAGGATTTGAGAGCAAAAGTGGCGGAGAGAGTGGAGAAATTGACGGCGGCGAGAATCGGCGGTCCTCCGTTGCCGGCGCTGCCTCCGCCGCCTGCGACGTCGTCGTTTCAAAACCACCAATTTCCGCCGCCTACGACGTCGTTTAATCTCGCTGGAAACCACCAATTCCCGCTGACTGCAACGTCGTCGTTTCCTGTGGCGGGAAGCCAGACGACGCCGTTTCATTTGGCTGGTGGGTTAGGATTTTTCTAGATTAAAGTTAGTTCTGGTTAGATGATTTTGATTAATAAAAATTTCCATAATTTTTAAATGTTTATAGAATCTGTTCGGGAAAAATAAGGAATTATTATCTGTTTGTAGGATTCTTTTAGTTGAATCATTTTTCTTTTTTCTTTTTAGGATTATTTTAGTTAAATCCATTTAATTTTGGGCTTTTATACATGTAAAATTCATAATTGAGAAATGTTGACGAAAATGTTGACTTGGGACCTTATTTCTTGTAGTCATGTAAATGAAAGTACCGATAAAATATCAATGTCTGTGGTTGATTTTTAAAGATTGTCGAGTGCCTTCGGTTTCATATCATAGTGGATAATATTTTATTACAAGTTTAAATAATCGTGCCTAAATTAAAAATGGAGTTGGAAGATTTAACACGTAAAACTTAAGAGGGAATGAAATTGGAGATATAAATGGAAAGAAATGAATCTCGATCTTTATCGTTAAGCTAGACACACCTTAACTAGACACATCTTAACAATCAAAATAACACTTTTTTTTAGTAGTATGAATGAAAGGGTGGGTGAATATTTCAACTTTTGACTACAAGTAAATGAGTAATTTACCTGTTGGCTCAAAATAATATATTTCCAAATATACGTATACACACAATATATACATAATATGATTCATTTTCTTTTATCAAAATAACACATCATATTCCATTGTATGTATTATTATATCAAAACTTCTTCAAGATTTTCAACCACAAAACAACATAGAAAAATGATCCATTAGCACTAATTAAGATTAGAGAGCTTCGTTAAATGAAGAACAACTCCATTCTCTGGCTCCACGACCAACCTGAATGCAGGGGAATGCTTATAACAAGGGGAAACACTTAGCTCAAATCTCGACAGAACAAGGCTCACTATCACTTTCAGCTCTACCATTGCAAAGTGTTGCCCCGCGCAAACCCGTGGTCCGACCCCGAAGGGAATGTAAGCTAGCGGATTCTTGCAAGCTCTAAGAATGCCATTGCTGAACCTCTGTGGATCGAATGAGCAGGCGTCAGGTCCCCAGAGATCGAAGTCTTGTTGTAGCATTGGGATCGGGATTTGGACATTCGTTCCTTTCGGGATTGTTAGGCTTTTTAATCTTATGTCTTCCAATGCTTCTCTTGTGACAAAAGCTGCAGGTGGGTAGAGCCTCAGCGTCTCTTGAATCACCATTGTTAGCTGTAGGCCATCAGAAAGAAAGTAAGAATGAAACTCTTTTATACAAATTTCAAACTCTAAAATTAACTTTGGTTCCAACTTTTGTAAGTTTAAGGACCTAAAAACACACTTTTTAAAGTTCAAAAAGCTCAATAAACACAATCCTTAAACTTGATGACTAAACTTTATAATCATTTAGACTTTCAAACATTATCAATCTGGTGATTTAACATATTCTTAACCAAGCAATTCAGAAATTTGATCAGTAGCAATAAAAAAGGGAGGAAAACCGTTTTCATGTTCTTAACGGTATCGGCATCGATGGGCCTATCTTGACAACATTGAAGCACCTCAGAACGAGCTCGAGCTTGCCAATCCGGGTGTGCTGCCAGTAACATCAAGCACCATGATGCTGTTATTGCAGTCGTCTCGTGACCAGCAAAGTAGATATTCTTGCAGTTATCTACGATGAACTTGTCTCGGGAAATATTCAACGACTTGTCGTCTTTACCAAGACTTTCAGCACCCTCAAGAATCATCTGCAACAAATCTTGATCATGTGAGGAGTGCTCGATTCGTTCATTCACAACTTTTAAAACCATCGACTCGATTTCCTTCTCTAACTTCCACATTTCTCTATTGTTTTTGGTGGGGATGTACCTAAAAGATAAGAAGCCAATCCACAGCCATAGACAGGAGAAATAAAAATGTTCTTAGTAGCAGTACCACATTATTCATTAAGAACATGATACACACAATTCCTATCCACCCAGATATATTTCTAAAATATCAACACATAATGAGATGTAAAATGATCACGAAGTAACACATTGCTCGTAAAGGATTACGGTTATCGTTCAAATCACCCATACCTGAAACCGGGAACACCGATGCTTCCTTTGGACATGACAACTTGAAGAGCTCTGAGTTTTAGGAATATCTCTTTCCCTTCGGAATAATTGCTTCCAAAACAGGCCTTCGAGATTATATCTGCAGACAAGGCTCTCAAATCGCCATCGACGTTGATTTCAGATCGTCCTCCGTCATTTTCAACTCTACTTTCCCATGATCTTAGCATGGAGCTGGTAGATTCCACCATTAGACTTGTCATGCCCTGCAAATTCAAGACTTGCCCACTTTACCTTTTCGTTCAATACTTAGGACCAAAAATTTAGTTCCCTCTATCAATCGAGTACCTTGTTAGACCATCAAATTACTTTTTCTTTTCCTACTTACTTATCTAAACTTATAATTCCTAATCTCTTTCAATTATCATTCATTAATATAGACAACTTACTAATTACATTGCTATATCAAATGAAAATTGTATAAATATCATTCTTATTTAATTTGAATTAAATATTTAAATAAGACTTCTCGGCTATTTTTTCATGTTTTCAATCTTAATTTCATAAGTAATCTTACCAATGTTACCCACGTCTATACTTTCAAGTTTTTCAACCTTGATTCATTCTATTTTATGTATTTCCAAAATGTTCGTTTTAGCTCTCATAGTTTCGGTGTTTGTTTATGTTAGTGCATGTACTTTCAAAACGTCACTTTTGGTCCATATACTTTACTTTTAAAAAGTAATCATTTTAGTCCATTCAAAACAATTTTTTCTTATTTCGTTTGATCCATAATTTTAACATAAATTTGTATTCAAAGATTCCTATTGTGAATGAAATTTGTGTTAAAATTTTTGCTAGACTAGAACCAACGTTTCGAAAATAAGATGATTAAAATAAAATAAAAATTTGAAAAAACCAGAACAAAAAATAAGTGCATGTTTGGTTGGCCATCTGAATTCTATTTCTTGGTGAATATTTGCTGGTAGATTTATTTTTAAAACTATTTTCAAATTATGTGATTCATTCTGAAAACAAAATTTTTCTGTTTCTAGTGTTTTTAAAATTTTGAATCTAAAACTTGGATAGATATGCCTTTTCATGTTATAAACTTATTTAATTTTTTTATAAACATGTGAAATATAATATATTATAAATTAAACAATATTGTAAAATAACAATTCTACAAAATCTATAACAAAAAATGTTAATAAACTAATTAATGTTATTTTAGATTAACTTAAATATTTAGTTAGTAGCTCCAACTAATTTACAAATATATTACTAAACTAAACAAGTTTTAAGTTTTTCTAATTTTCAAATTTATGTTTTCAGATCACCAACCAAATCTATTCTAAACATGGAGCTCAAAATTAACCACTGCACATTTTTCAAATACAAAACATGAATAAACATGGTTAATTATACCAAGTTAAAATCAATCCATATTATTATTGTTTTTTTTCCTTTGAGATTTGTAAGAATTGGTAAATAATAAATTAAATTACCTTAACTTTGTCAAGGTATAGTGAAGGAGCAATGATCTTCCTTTGATGAACCCAAATTGGGCCGCTCGAGGCCAAAATCCCGAGGCCCAATAACGGCCCACGATCCTTCGACAGGTGCGCCGGCTTCCCCAAACTCAACGAAGTCGAAAGACAAATTTCCTTCACCGTCTCCATCTCCGTCACGCACAGAATCTGAATCGTCCCGCTCCAATACACGAACATCGCCCCTGAAAAAACCCCCAAATTTTCGTCATCAATTTTCAATTCCCTAAATCCGAATCAAAATTCGCCAAATCGGATCCGATTCCGCGCGATTACCGTATCGATTCCGCCACTGCTCCAGATGCGGGAAGAGATTCGAAGGCCAGGCGTGGGAGATGGATCCGTCCTCTGCGATTCCCGAAGTTAGGGCTCGGATGTTCTTGATTTCGGAGAGGTTTCCGAGGAGGAAAGACGGCGGAGGACCGTCGATTCCTTGCTTGCGGAGCTTCGATCTTCGTCTTTTCGGATTCCATAGAAACGATTCGAACAGATGAAGAGAAATCGAGAAGAGAAGTAGCGCCGCAAGAGAGAGTGCCGCCATTGTTGCTCCTGCTCCGAGCTCTGCTTCCATGGCGATTGTGATTTTGCTCTCTCTGGCACTCGGTTTTGACTTCGATTTCTGTTTAGCGTCTGCGAATGCATGTGTTCCTGTTGTCGGATGGATTTGGAGACTGAAATTGGACTTTTGTTTTAGGAGATATGATCCATTGCATGAAATTCCGATGGATTTTTTATTTTTTATTTTTATTTTTTGTCTCTTGTCAAAAGATTATTTAAAATATATATATTTGTTGATAATCATATCCATTGTTCAACATCAACTTAAACGGTCACAACCCTTCTATAAAAGAATCAATAAAATACAAAAGATTTATTTAAAAATATAAAAATATTTATTTGTTAATTTAAATAGTGTTTACTATTTTTTTATTTCTTTAACTATCTATCAACGTCAATATTTTATGGATATTTCCATGAAATTGAGATTTGAATGTTTCCATGACATCGATATTTAAAATCTTGAATATATTAAGGTAACATTTCTTCGTTCTTTCATATTCTTTTTTCTTTCAATTTCTTGTTTAATACTTTTTCTTGCAAAATAAAAATTAAAAAAAATTGTTGGGTAACTGATCTTATCTCTTTTCTTTATCTTAGACTTCGAATTAAAAAATAAAAATTTATGTGAAATTTAATTTTTATGCAACCAACAATGATAAAAATAAGACCTAAAACAATAAATTTTATTTTGTTATTTTTAAAATTTATACACAATTTTGAAAACGTTTCTTGAGAGTGAAATATGAACAATTATCAAATACTTACGTTTTTCCAAAACTGAAAACAAAAAATAAAAAAAAGTAGAAACGTTACAAAAACTGAATTTTTTTAATAAAAAATAAAACTGGAGTTGGAGAATCGAACCTTCACAATTCTACTGGGATTGGCTCTGAGAGCGTAAAATATCTCGATTATTATTTTACAATATTATGTAAGTTATAATATATTATATTTTATATCTTTTAATGTCAACAAAAATAAATTGAATTTATAATCTAAAATAGTATATTTATCAAAAGAAAAAATTAATGTAGTTTTACCTTAAAGTTTCAAATTTCAAATTTGCAAAATACTTGTTACAACTATAAAAATTTTGTTTTTAGAAATTCCATTTTTGTTTTTAGAAATTCCATTTGTATCACAAGTTGGAAAACAGTTTTAGAAAACAATATTCACTAAATTCATTATTCTAAAAATAATAAAGAGATTGAATAGCAAATGCCCAAATTTCTAGATTTCGTCTAATTGACTGTGAAAGGTAAATATATCAAATAGTTGATTAAATGGTTTATAAATCTTAAAAATAATCTTTAATATGGTGCCTAACCTCTCATTTAATCCTTTATTTTGTATTTAGTAAGTTTTTAATTTTTTAATTATATATTTAACAATCTACCGTTTATTAGACATTTTTTTTAGTTTAGTAATCTATTAAATGCAAAATGTACTTAAATAAAACCTATTAGATGCAAAATGGAAAGTTTTGAGGATGTTATTATTTAATTTAAAATTATTTGGCATTACCCCAATCTCAACTTTTAGTTTTTTTTATTTTTTATATTAGTTGTTGTTATTAGTTTTTTAATAAAATATTTAACTTAATAAAACCATGTTTTTTTTATTTGATCATTACATTTATACACAAATAATTGATTGCGGGCACATGTTAGGTTAGGTATGGGAATTATTTAAAAATGTTTAAAACTTTTATTAAATGATAATCGAAAATTTCCAATAAAGGCCGAAATAGTTTCATATGCAACGATTAAAAAATAAGGGTAAATTGCAAAAATCACCCCTAAATTATAATAGTTGTTGCAAATACACCAACGAACTTTTAATGGTAAAAATTAAACCCTCCAACTTAAATAGTGGTTTAAATTAAACCTCTCTCTCGTAGTTAGTTAACATTCCGTTAAGTTCTCCTTTAAAAAACAAACTGATGTTTTAAAAAATAAAATAAAGCCCTTCAGTTACAAAATCACTGACAAACAAAAATCTTTTTTTTTTTTTGAAGATTTCTTTTGGATTCCAGTTTCAATAATAATATGTATTGTCGCTTCGGATAATACAGAATCGGAGTATCATCCCCTTTTCATAAGTTTGGTGGTAGAGTTTTGAACGTGGCCGAGTTTTTATCTTTTCCTTCTAAATTTTATTGTTAAGTCACATGATATTATAGCAAAAATGGAGATGGAAGGTTGCTGAATTTTTTTTGTGCGTTCACTTATGGAGGTTCATATGTGGAAGTAGATGAAACTACTGTTTTTTTTATATAATTTTTATAGAAGAAACCTCACAAAATTAGTTTTTGTTTATCGACGTCACGACATTGTTTACGCACGATTCTTGTTGTTCAAGTTGATTACTTACTAGGGGACACTCCCAAGTCGAGCATATATATTATGATCGAATCTAGAATTCAAGTAGTGATCTTGTTTAAAATCGATTTTGCGTTTGTGTTCTTCTAGAAATCATGAAAACTCTCTCCCCTGTCGAAAAGATTGTGTTTGTTATGCATGATTATGTAACCTAATGAAGGGTTTTATTTTATTTTTTAAAATATCAATTTGTTTTTTAGATGAGAACTTAACGGAAGGTTAACCTAACTAACATAGGTTTAATTTAAACCATTATTTTAAGTTGGAGGGTTTAATTTTTGCAATTAAAAGTTTGTGGGTGTATTTGCAACAACTATTATAGTTTAGGGGTGGTTTTTGCAATTTACCCAAAAAATAAATGTGGAAAATTAAGGGAAGGATGAGAATAGACCTCGAAATTAATGTTAGGTTTACAATACATCGATTTCAAACTCTAAAAAATGATATTTTTTAAACTAAAAAAGGAAAAAAAAAAAAAGAGTGAAAATTAAAATTAATACTGATGATGTCATTCGTGTTATCAAAGAAAAGGTGAATAGGAGTTATTTTTCGAATTATGGGGTGAAATTATGCATGCCTTAATGGAGATGATTCCACATGACATCAATGTAGATGCGGTCGAAATTGTTGTTGTGCGTGAATGTTTGATCGTAGCAAGTGAAATTGATTTTATACATCTGATCAAGTTGGACCTTGATTCATTTTGTTGCACAAACATTTGACGTCATTTGTGGGAAATGACATTTTAAGTCATTACTACCCGTCATACTATGATGAACACCAAATCACACACCTCAAGCAATCGAGTTGAAGATAAATAGAATTGGGCCCAATCCTCACCAAGAGGGTGCCTCTAGACTTGCCCCTAAGTTAACTTCGGCCCTTTGGGAAAACCAGTCCCGTTCACCTACAACCTACCCACCCATTCTAGCTCGCGTGCCTACCTACTCTACCCAGGAGAGGAGGAGGCCGCTAAGAAGGCTAGCACAAAGAAGTTTGTGCCAGCCGCAAATCTGGATATGCTGGCCAACATGCAGACTTATGACAAAAATTGCTAATCGCAAGTGTACGGGTAAAGTTTTAATAAAGTTGTAAGTTAATATTGATATCGTCCTCTGGATTGAGTTTCTAGATCATTCAAGTACCACAATACTTTTACCTTCTTTTATTTAGAAAATCAAATTGGAATTTTGTAATATGATTAAGGTAAATTAACATAAACTATTAAATAATGTAAATTCAATGGGCCACATATCCTAAGGAATAGATTTCATCATGAATCTATAGACCAATTATTTAATTAATCAAAATTGAACAAATTATCGATTCTATAGGACGATAACTCTCAAATCCCAACTGCCTCTCCCGAGCGCAAGCGAAGTTTTCTTACTAAATACGAAACCAATATCTCTATGTAGTTTTTGTAACAAGTAAAGACCTTGACGAATAAGTCTGTTAACGACCTTTAAAGGAATTCTAAATCTCTCAATCTTAAAACTCTTTTAGTTATGAATCTCAACTCTCAACCACCTCTCCCAAACGTAAGATTACGAGTCTAAGTTCAATTAATATGTGGCCAGTGGATTAAATAACACATTGTATTCCATTTCCATTGTCCCTATTATTATAACTCAACTTTTTAAGATTTTCGACCGCAAGACAACATTAAAAAAGAATTTTATCCATTAGACATTAATTAGAGAGCTTCCTTAAATGGAGAACAACTCCATTCTCTGGCTCTACAACCAACCTGAAAGTAGGGGAATGCTTCTAACAAGGTGAAACACACAGCTCAAATCTTGATAGAATAAGGCTCACTATCATTTTCAACTCTACCATTGCAAAGTGTTGTCCTGCACAAACCCACGATCCGACCCTGAATGGCATGTAAGCTAGCGGATTCTTGCAAGCTCTAAGCACGCCGTTGCCGAACCTCTGTGGATCAAACGAGCGTGCGTTGGGTCCCCAAAGATCGAAGTCCTGTTGTAGCATTAGGATCGGGATTTGAATGTTCCTCTCAGAATTGTCATGTTCTTTAATCTTATGTCTTCCAATGCTTGTCTGGTGACGAAAACTACAGGTGTGTAGAGCCTTAGTGTCTCTTGAATCACCATTGTTAGCCGTAGGCAACCATAAAAATAGCAAAAGTGAATATATCTTTCATCCCAGTTTAGATTCTTAAACTTTCAATCTTATCTCATAAGACAACAATTTATTGGACACACAATGAAAAATTTAAGATATAAGTTAGAACTTAGGAGTTTAAGGACTTACTAAGCACTAGACTAAAATTTAAAAAAGCTCAATAAATGCAATCCTCAAACTTCATGGACCAACCTTGTAATTAATTCAGTCTTTCAAACCTCATCAGTCTAGTGATTTAACAAGATTTTTAAACCAACAATTCAGAAATTTGACATTAGTAGCAATAAAAGGGAGGAATACAGTCTTCATGTTCTTAACGGTATCGACATCGATAGGCCTATCTTGAAAACATTGAAGCACCTCAGAATGAGCTCGAGCTTGCCAATCCGGGTACGCTGCCAGTAACATCAAGCACCATGATGCTGTTATTGCAGTCGTCTCATAACCAGCAAAGTAGATATTCTTGCAGTTATCTACAATAAACTTGTCTCGAGATATATTCAACGACTTGTCGTCTTTGTCAAGACTATCGGCACCCTTAAGATCATCTGCAGTAAATCTTCATCATGTGAGGAGTGCTCGATTCGTTGGTTCACAACTTTTAAAAC